TTATCATTAAAATTTTTATAATTATTCTTCATATAATTTTTATTGTTGTCATCATCATTAATATCGTCGTCACTATTTCTAACATTTTTGTCATTGTTATAATCATCAGCGTTATTTTTATTGTTATCATTATCAACATTACCATTGTCAAGATCATTATTATCATGATCATTATCATTTTTATCATTTTATCATCATTATCGTGATTATCATCTTTATCATTATTCTCAATATTATCATAATCATCATTATCGATGTCGTCATTATCATTATCGGCAACAACGTCTTTATCATCATTATCATTATCACAGTCATCATCATTACCATCATCGACATCGTCATCATTCTCGTCATTTTTATCATCATCGTTAACGTTATTATCACTGTCATCGTTTTATTCGTCATTCCTGTTACCATCATTTCTATCGTCATTGTCATCATTATCAACATTATTATCATCATTATTATTGTTATCAGCATCATCATTGTTTTCATCGTTATTATCATTATCCTGATTATTATCGTTATCATCGTCATCATTATTATTATAACCATAATCATTATTGTTATCATGATAAATATCATCATTCTTATCATCATTATTTTCATTATCAACATCATTAGCATTTTTATACTTAACATCGTCGTTATTATAAATGTCGTCATCATTGTCATTGTGATCATCATCGTTATCGCCATCTTTATCATTATTATAATAATTTTCATCTTCATTGTTTTTATTATTATTATCATCATTATTATTGTCATTGTTGTTATTGCGGTCATCATCCTTATAATTATTTTCTTTATCATCATCGCCATCGTCATCATCATCATCGATATTATCGTTATTATCATCATCGTTTTTATAGTCGTTATTATCGTCATTACTGTCATTATTATTAGCATCGTTATTGTCATAATAGTTATTATCATCATCATCGTTATCTTTTGCATCGTCATAATCGTCATAAAAGTCATTGTTAATATCGTCATTGTAATCGTCGTCATTATAGTTACCATTGTTATCGTCGTTATCATCATCATCATCATCATCATCAGTTTTATCATTGTTATTATTATCGTTATCATTATCATCTGTGACGTGGAAAAATTTGCTTTTCTATTTTGTTTGCCACGCCACAGTCGACGCCTCTGCTTTGAAGCTAAATAATTAAGCTGTATATTCGTAGCCTTTTCCGTGTGCTCTGTTGTAGCAAACTTTTTGTAAAGAGAAGAAAAAATGAGGCGTGAAGGGCCAGTGGGTCAAGGTAGTATGAAGAGTGCGTATGGTGATTTTTGTAATTGTCGCGGCGGCGACACGAATGAGAGAGATTGGTGGATAAGGTAGGGATAGAGTAGTTCGGTCAAGAGATAACTAGTTGACATATCAAGCGACGAGTTGGCGACTGACGCGATTGAGGAATTCAGTGGGTGTGAGACCACCAAGCGCGAAGTGTAGAAGAGAGAACGTGGAGCCAGAGAGCAGAAAGTAAGTGAGTATTAAGTGCGAGAGAGAGAGAGAGAGCGAGTGAGAGAGTGAGCGGGAAGAGGGACCCGGAAAAATAAGCCTGATCCCAACCTGGGATAGGAACCGAGTGAGAGTGACAAAGAGAGAGAGAGGAGAGAGGGTACAGGTGGGGGCATGGACAGGAAGCAAAAGCCGGAGGCACCTCTTGCGGGACGTTACCATGACCTTTACGGTCCACGACGGTGACCTACTCCGCGGGCTAGAGATCGAGCAAAGTGAGAGTGTGCGTGTGTGTGCACGTACAGCCAGCCGCGTTGAGGAGGCCTGGCCCCGACCGAGAGTCGNATTATGATGATAATGATGGTGATAATAACGGTGATAACGACGATGACAATGATAATAATGACAATGATGTTAATAATCATGATGTTAATGATAATGATGATAATAATGATGATGATGATGATGATAATGATAATTACATTGATGATGATAATAACGCTGACGAGAATAACAATGACGATGATGATAAAGATGGCATTATAATCATCATTGTCACTATCATCATTGCCATTATTATTATCAAAAATATTATTATCATCATCTTTATCGACATCATTATTATCATCTTTATCATCATTAACATCATCATTAATATTATTGTCATCGTAATCCTTAACATTATCATCATGATAATCATTATTATCAACATCATCTTCACTATTATTACCATTATCATCATCGTTATTGTCGTCATCATCGCTATCACTATTATAATTTTTATCATCATTATCATCATCGTTATCTTAATTATCACCGTCATCATCATCATCATCATCATCATCATTATCATTAAAATTATTATTATTATTATTGACATTATTGACACTATTATCAGTGTTGTCATCATAATTATTATTATCATCATTATCACTACCATTTTCATGATTATTGATATTATTGTCAACATCATCAGTAGAAACATAATCTTTATTATTTTATTATTATTAGCATCATGATTATTATTAGTATTGTTATCCTTAATATCATCATTATCATTGTCTTTTTGACCACTATAAGTAACATCATAATTATCTTTATCCGTAACTCCATAATTATTACCATCATTATCATCATCATCATTGCCACCATCTTCAACAGCATCATCATTGTCATCGACATCATAATCGTAAACATCTATCTTTATCGTTAACATCATCCTCATTGTCATCATCATCATCATCACCATCGTCGTCATCGCTTTACCATCGTCATTACCATAATAATTATCACTATCAGTGTCATTTTTATCATCAACATCATTATTATCATCATTCTTGTCCTCATTATTGTTGTTATCATCGTTATTATCGTCATCATCGTCATCATCATCACCATAATCGTCATCGTCATCATTATCCTCATCGTCATCTTTAAGGTCATCGTCATTATTATCGTCATAAACAATAATCAACATCATTATCATCATTATCACCATCAACGTCAACGTCATCATCAGCGTCAACATTGTCATCGTTGTCGACATTCTTATCGTCATCATAACTATGATCGTTATCTCTGTGAACTACATTATCATTGTCATTGTCATCTTGTTATAATTATTATTTTTATCATAATTATTATTATCGTACTATCATTATTATCATAATCATTATTATCATGATCATTATTATTGCGTTAGTTCTCATAATTATAATTATCATTGTTATCATCATTGTCGTCAATGTCATCATTGTTATCATCGTCAACATTGTCTTCTTTGTGATCATCAATATTATCATCATCGTCATTATAGTTCTCATTGTCATCCACATTGTTGTTGTCATTGTCGTCGTGATTGTCATTTTTATTATAGTTATCGTTACCATAATTGCTATAGTCATTGACATTATGATCATCATTGTCTTCAAGGTCAGTCCAATGGTATTTTTCATCGTTATAGTCATTATTTTTGTCATCGTTATTATTATGATTATCGACAACATTATCATCGTCATAATTGTTATTATCGTCATTTGCGTCACCATTATGATCACAGTCATTGTTGTTATTATAATTTTCGTTATTATCGATATAATCATTATTATTATCATAATCATTAGTATATTCATCATCATCATTATCATTATCGTCTTTATTATCTTACTTATTGTCATAATTATCATCATTGTCATTATCATTATTATCCTCATTATTATCATCATTATTTTTATCTTCTTTATTCTTATTATTATCTTTACTACCATGATCATTGTTATTATCATTATTGTTATCGTCATTGTGATTGTTAACAACATCGTTATCGTAATCGTCATTGTCATTATCATCATCATCATCGGTATCATCAATATTAACATCATTATAACCATAATTATTATCATTATTATCATCATAATTATCATCATGATGAACGTTGTCATCGTCGTTATTTATGTCATAATCATTACTATTATTCTTATTGTTATGGTCATCATTAACATTATTTTTAATGTCACTATTGTTCTTATCATCATTGTCATCACTGTTGTCATCTTTATTATTGTTGTTGATATCATTGACGTCAACATCAATATTATCGTTGACATTGTCATTATAGTTATCGTTGTTATGGTCATTATTATCGCCGTTCTAGGCACCTTCATTATCATCGTCAATATCATTATCATCATTATAATCATTCACATTATTATCTTTATTATTATCGTAATCATCATCATTATTATCATCATCATCGTTATCATCACCTTAATCGCCATTGCCATCATCATCGTCATCGTTGACATCATAATCATTTTTATCATTATCCCATGATTAACATTATCATCGTCATCGTTAGTATTATTATTACCATCGTCATCATTTATTTTATTATTGTCTCTGTTTTTATTATTATAGTCAGTATCATCATTATCATCATGATTATTATCATTATCATTATCATTCTCATCATCATCAATCGACGACGATGATGGTAATGACTGTGATAAAGATTGCGATGATAACATTGATGTCGACGATAAGAATGATGCTGATGATGAAGATGATGATAATAAATATAATAATGATGGCGATGATGACGATAAATATAATAATAATGGCGATGATGACGACAATATTGATAATGATGATGGCAACGATGATGATAATGATAATGATAATGATGATGATAATGACGATGATGATGATGTTAATGGTGATGATGATGTTGATAATTATAATGATGATGACGATGATGAAAATGGTAATGATATTGATTATAATGATGATTATAATAGTAACAATGACATTGACACTGACGAAGATAACAACGACGATAATGATGATAATGGCGATGACGATAATGATGACAATAATGACGGAAATAAAGATTGTGATGATGATTGCGATAATAAAGATTTAAATGACCATGATAATATGGATAAAAATATTAATAATGGTATTTGAGACAATAATGATGATAATTTTAGTAATGATGATGATGATAATGATGATGATAATAATAACAACGATGACAACGATGCTGAAGAAGATAAGAACGACGATAATGATAAGAATGGTGATGACGATGATAACTATAATGACGATAGTGATAATAATCATGACGACGATGATGAGAATGGTAACAATAAAGATTATTTTACCGATGATGATGATGATAATATCAATGACAATGGCAATGACAATCAAGACAATGATATCGATGATAATGATAATGCTAATGATAATATAGATGATCATAAAAATAATAATAATGATGGTATCAATAACGATAATATTGACGATGATGATGTTAATCATAGGATAATGATTATAATTATGATGATAATGAGAATGACAATTATGATGATAGTGGTATTGATCATGATTATGATGTTGACTAGAATAGTTATAGTAATGACAAAAACAACGGTTACTATGATGATGATTTCAACGATGATGACGATGTTGACGTCAATGATATCAACAACGATAATAAAGATGACATAGGTAATGACAATGATGACGATAACAAAAGTGACGATAATGATGATATTGACAATGACCATGACCATGAAAGTAATACTGATAATGATGACAATAATGACGACGATGACAGTGTTAAGTATATTGACAATTATGATCTTGATGATAATGACAATGATGACGACGACGATGTTGATGATGATGATGATGATAATAATAATGATTTTAATAATCAATAATCAAGAGGAGGCTGACGATGACAATGACGCTGACGATAAGGATTACGATGACGATATCGATGACATAGATGATGACAATAATGGTGAAGAAAATGACAATATTAACGACAATGAGAGCGTTGATAATGATGACGATGATGATGATAATTGTAACAATGATGATGATGATGTTGATAATAATTATAATGATATGATAATAATTATGTTTACATGATAATAACGATTATGATGACAATGATTATTATATTTACGATGACACTGATAATAATGATAACACTGACAATGATACTAATGGTGACAAGGATGAGGATAATAGCGATACGGACAAAAAGAATGTTAACAATAACAATGATAACGACGATAACAACGTTGATGACGATAAAAATGATGATAATGATTATAACAAAAATGATGATGTTAATGATGATAACGACAATAATGATAATAATGAAGTTAATTATGATAGTGATATTGAAAATAAAGATGATTGTGTTGATAATGATGATGATGATGATAATGACGTTGATGCTGATGATAATGACGATAATAATTATGATGACGTTGGTCAGAACGATTTTGACATTGATAAGAATAATGATAATAATGACAATAAGTATGATCATAAGGACGATGATGATAACGATGACGATAATGATGATATTAACAATGATAATAATAACGATGATGATGATAATAAAGATGATAGTGATAATAATGATGATAACTATGACGACGATAATGACAAGGATGACAATGATGATAAAAATGACGATGAGAATAATGATAATGGTAATGATCTTGAAAACGATAGCAATGATGATGATATTGACAATAATGACCTTGATAATATTGATGATAATAATGATGATAATGTCGAGAATGACGATGATGACGATGAGAATGACGATGATGGCAGTAATGATAATGGTAATGTTAATAGTGACAACGAAGACGACGATGATGTTGATAGTGATAACAATGACAATGACGATGATAATATTAATAACCAGAACGACAATGATAATGATGATGACAATGATACTGTTGACGATACTGATGATGTTACAAATGATAATGACGAGAATAATAATGATGATGATAATGCTGATAATGGTAATAGTAATGATGATGCCGATGACGAAGATAACAATGGTAACGAGCATGACAATAATGACGATGTTAACAATGATTATGTTTACGACAATGATGTCAATGACGATGATAATGATATTCACGATGATGTTGATGATGATGATGATGATAATGATGATTTTGATGTTTATGATGATAACGATGATAACGATAATGAGTAAAATAACGATGACGATAACGATAAAGATAAAGATGAGGATGACGATGACAATAATGATAACAGTGTCGATGATAGTTATAAAGATGACTATGATGTCAATTATTGATACTAACTATGACGATGACAATGACGGTGGGGATGACGATGAGGATAAGGATAACGATGATGATAACGATGACGTCAACCGTAATTGTGATGATAATGACATTGATGACGATGATGACTATGATAATAATGATGATGACGTTGATAGTAATAATCATAATAATTATGTTTATAATAATGATGATAACGATGATGATGATGATAATGATGATGACAACGATGCCAATAATAATAATAATAATGATATTGATGGAGATGATGCCAATGATAATGGTAATAGTAATGACAATATCAACATTAACGACGATGATGATGATTATGATAATGATGACGATGATATCAATAATGACATTTATGATGACAATGAGAACGATGATAATATTGACGATACTAATGATAATGACTATGATGACGATGACAATAACAAAGTCGATGTAACTAACGATTACAAGAAAGATAACGGTGGTAGTGACTAAGATGATAATAATAGTAGACATGATGAAAAAATTAAAAATGATAACAATGATGATGATGATGGAATGTTGACGATGACAGCGACAATGACAACGTTGACGATGATTATGATTATGATAATGCTGATAACAACCATGGCTTACATGACCATCACATCGATCATGACGACGTTGACCTAAAAAATATTAACAAAATTAACTAAGATGACAACGATGATGACAATGATAATGACAATTAATACGATGCGGATAAATATGTTGATGATGACAATGATAACTATGATTTTGATAATGACGTTGATGATGATAATGATAATTATAATGATGGTGATGATGATGACGATCATTGTCAAAGTCACTTTTATCGTTATCTTTATTGTCAATCTCATTGTCATCGTTATCCTTGTCAATGTCATCTTTCTTGTTATCGTCGTTAATATCAATATTATCATTGTCATTATTGTCATCACTATTATTATCGTCACATCTATTATTATTATTATCATTATTATTATCATCATCATCATTATCATCATCATCATCATCATCATTATTATCATCAACATCATCATCATCATTAATACATCATCGTCATCATAATTATCATAATCTTTATCATTATCCTCGTTTTAATTGTCATCATTATCATTGTCATAATTGTCATCGCTATTGTCATCGTCATTGTCATTGTCGATATTATTATTATTATCATCATAATTAGCGCTATTATTATGTCATCATAAATTTGATCGTCGTTATTGTCATTGTCAATTTTTTTTTCTTTAAAATGTTGTTATGATTATTTTCAACCTAAATGTATTTGTAATTGTCATGGTCATTATTATTCTTAATATCATCATCATTGCTATCGTTGTCGTCGTCATAATTATGATCTCTATTACTATCGTAATAAACATCTTCATTTTTATCGTTATAGTTATCGTTATTGCCATCATCATCTGTCTCGTCATAGTCATCATCATTGTCATCATCATTGTCATCGTCGTCATCGTCATCATTACTGTTAGTATCACCATCATCGTCACTAGCATTATTAGAATTTTTTTTTTCATTATTATCATTATCATTGGCATTGTCATTGTCATTGTATTTGTCATCGCTGTCATCATAGTTATCGTCGTTATTAATGCTATCGTCATGATCGTTTTTGTTTTTATTTTCATCACTATCGTTATTATTGTTATTATTATTAGTATAATCATAATCAGTATTATGATCATTGCCGTCATCATCATCATCATGGTCATTATCATCATCATCATCATCATCATCATCATCATCATCATTATTATCATCATCACTATCATCATCATCATCATTATTATCACCATTATCATCATCATCATCATCATCATCATCATCATCATCATCATCATCGTCATTATTATCGTCATTATTATCATCATTATAATGATTTTTTATTCATCATCATTATTATCACCATCATCATCATCGTCATTATGATTGTCATTGTCATCGACATTGTTGTTGTCATTGTCGTCGTGATTATCATTATTATTATTGTCATCGTTACCGTTATTGCTATTGTCATTGACGTTATGATTATCATTGTCATTATAGTCAGTCAATTGTAATTCTCATCGTTATCATCATCATTTTTCTTGTCATCGTTATTATAATTTTCGATATTATGCTTATCATCATTGTTATTATTGTCATTAACACTATCATATTCATCATCGTCATTGTCACCGCCATCATTATTAAAATTTTCATTAGTGTCGATGCCATTGTGATCGTCATCGTTATTGTCACCATCTTTGTCATGGTCGTCGTTATCGCTGTTGTCATTGTCATTGTCATCATTATTGTCATCGTCATCATTGTCGTCATTCACATTATCAATGTTATTATAGTCATCATTTTCATTATCATTATCGTCATTGTCATTATCATTATTATCGTCATCATCATCATCATCATCATCATTATGGTCAATGTATTTTTATTGCTATCGTCAACCTCACTGTCTACATCGTCGTCATTATTATCATTATTATCTTAATTATTATTATTTTTATTATCATTGTTATTATTATCATTGTCATAGTCATCGTGATTGTTATTGTCATCGTCATTGTCATTATCGTTAGTGTTATGATCATTAAAATCGTCATTAGCGTCATTATTATTGTTATCATAGTTGTTATTATTATTACTGTCATTGTCACTTTATTTTTATTCTTAATTTCATCATTAATATCGTCATCGTTATTCTCATAGTCATTGTCATCGTTGTTATCCCCATCGTTATTGTTAGTGTCACCATTATTGTCGCAACCACAATAACTTTTTTTTGTTTTATTATTTTTATTATTATTACCATCGTCGTCGTTATTTTTATAGTTGTTATCGTCATCGTCATTATAGCTGTCATCGTTATTGTCGTCTGCGTTCTTATCTCCGTCATCATCTTTATTAGTGTCATTATCATTATTATTCTGATCGTTATTATTATATTTACTTCATCATCATCATTATTGTCATTGTTATCGTCACTTTCGTCATTGTTGTCTTTGATAGCATCAACGTCATTATCATTGTTATCGTTATTGTTATCGTCATTGTTATCGTCATCACTGTTGTGATTGTTATTATCTTTTATGCTATCATTTCTGTCGTCATCATTATTTATGTCATTATCATTATTATTGTCATTGTTATTATTATTGTGACGTCATCTTCATCGTCAACGTCCTTGTCATTACTGTCATTATTGTCATTATTATTATTGTCATCGTTTTCATCGCCATTATTGTTGTCATCGTCATTTTTATTGTAATTTTAGTCATTATTATTATCATCGTCATTGTCATTTATTTTTTTAGTGTCACTATCTTCATCATCATTATTATTATTATCATTATTATCGTTATCGTCAGTATCATTGTCATTGTCATCGTTATTGTCATTGTAATCGTCTTCGTTATTTTCAACATCATAATCATAGTCATTATTATCAATGTTCATGTCGTTGGCATTGTTATTGTTATAGTCATTGTCAACGTGATTGACATGGTCATCTCTATCGTTATTGTTATTGTCATCGTCATTGTCATCATGTTTCTACTGTGATTATCGTTTTCAATAACATCTTTGTCATCATTGTTATTAATGTCATCATCAGTATTATTGTCATTGTTAATATTATCATCGCTCTAGCGTCATTGTTATTGTTATCATTATAATCGTCATTGTTATGTCGTCGTCATTGTCATCGTAATTGTCATGGTCATCGTCAATGTCATTGACATCATCACCGTCATTGTGATTGTCATTGTTTTTCTTTTTTTTCATCGTCATTGTCATCATCATTATCGTTATCGTCATTGTATTCTTGAACTTTACTGTCATCGTTATTGTCATTGTCGTCGTCTTCGTCATTGTTATCATTATTTTTATTATTATTATTATTATTATCATCAATATTATCATCGTCATCTTCACTGTCGTCATCATCGTTTTCATTGTCAATATCGTCATTATCATCGTTACCATTATTTTTTTTATCATTAATGTCATTGTCATTGTCTTTGTCATCATCACGCTTACGTCATTTTTATCGTCGTTGTCATCGTTGTCATTATTGAAGTTGTGGTCTCTATCATTTTTATCGTCATCGTCATTGTCATTATTGTTATTATGGTTATTATTCTTATCTTCATCATTATAGTCATCATCATCGTTAGCGTGATCGTTATTGTTATTGTTGTCGTTATCATTGTCGTGATTTGTATCGTTTACGGTATCGTCTTTGTCATTGTCATTGTCGTCATCGTCATTTTTTTTGTCATTGTCATTGTCTTTATTATTTTTGGCATCATCATTATCATTGTCATCTTGATTGTCATCGTCGTCTTCGTCACCTTTCTGTCATTGTCATTGTCNATTATTATTATGATAATTCTCATTATTATTTTTACTATCATCGTAATCATCATCATCATTATTATTATTATTGTTATCGTCACCTTCATCGTCATTTCCATCATCATTGTCATTGTTGCCATCATTATTATTCTCATCTTTATCATCTCTATCATCACTCATAATTAATATCATCATCGTCATCATGATTATTATTATTACCATCATTATCATTATTTTTATTATCATCTTTATTGTTATCGTTATCGTCATCGTCATTATTATTATTATTATAATCATTATTATTATTATCATCATCGATCGATGAAGATGACGATGATGACAGTTATAAAGATGACGATGACAACATTGATGTTGACGATAATCATGATAATAATGATAATAATGATAATAATAACTATAATGATGATGGCGATGATGACGAAAATAACGATAATAATGATGGTGATGGTGATCATAATGACGATCATGACGAAGTTGATGTTGACGATTTTGATAATGATAATAATGACGATGAGGAAAATGATAATAATAATTTTGAAAAGGTAATGATGATGGCAATGACAATGTTGATAACAAGGACACTTATAATGATAACAATAATGATTATGATGATAATGATAGTAATGATCATTTTTATGATGATGATTATGATGATGATGATGATGATGATGATGATGATGATGATGATGATGATGATAATGACGATGATAATGATGATGATGATAATAATGATAATAACCATAATGATGATGGGAACAATGACGATCACGTCGACAATAACGATAATAATAATAAGATTAATAATGTCAGTAAAAATGAGGATAATGATAGTGACGATAATAATTATGATAACGGAGATAATGACGAAAACATTAAAAACAATGATGATGACTTTAAGAATGACGAGAACAACGATGACTTTTCTGACAATCACACCAAAGATGACGATTTTGTCGTCGAAGACATCAACAATGAAAATGGCGATGACAATGATTATGCGGATAATAGTAAGTTGATGACGATAAACATGATAATATTGATGAAAATGATGATGATGATGTTGATAATAATAAAAATGTTAATGATAATAATGATAATAATGATTATGACGATGACGATGATACTGATGATGATGACAGAAATGAACATTATGATAATGATGACGATGATGATGATTTGGATGACAATTATGTTGGTAATTGAGAAGATGATGATGATAATATTTATGACAATGATGATGTTGATGACGATGATTGTGATGTTAACGATAATGATAATGACGGTAATGATGATGATGATGTTGATAACAACGATGATATAATGACGCTGATGATTATAACGATGACGATAATGATAATGATGATGATAATGATGACGGTGAAAATAATAACTACAATGACAATGATGATAATGACAATAAAATTAATGATGATGACAATGATGATAATAATAACGATAATGATAATAGTAATAATAAATATGTTGATTATTATGATGATGATGATAACTATTATGACGATGGCGACAAGGATGACGATAACAATGTCAATCACAGTAACGATAACGATAATACTGATAATTATGGTGATGTAAGTAGTAAAAAAAAATTATAATAATGACGTTGATGATAACAATTATAACGACGATAACAACAATGTCAATAATGATGACAATGGTACTGTTGCTAACAACAAGGCTATAATGTTAAATACAACGGTTATAATAATGACGAAGATAATAATAATAATGATGATATCAGTACATTTAAGAATTATGATAATAACGAAAATGGTAATGATAGCTATAGTAATAACAATGATATTAATGATAATGATAAAGACAATGACAATAACAACGATGACAATAATGATGACCATAATACTGACGATAACAACGATGACTTTTCTAAGGATTACAACAATAATAACGATGTTGTCGTCAAAGTCATAAACAACGATAATGACGATGACAACGATGATACCGATAATGATGATGATGATAATGATGTTAAAGATTATGATAATGATGACGATAATAAAAATGATGATGATAATGAGAAACAATCATAATTATGAAAAAAACGATGACAATGACACTGACAAAAATGACAATGACGATAATAATAATAGCGATGACAATGATGATAATGAGAATAACGAAAATAAAGATAATGATAATAAAGACAATAATGATGATTTTGTGGACCATGACGATAGTGATGAAGATGATAATAATTATATTTATGACGATGACGATAATAATTTTGACGATAATGAAAATGATAATGATGAAGATAATGATAACACTAAAGACAACGACACTAAATAAGATAAAAATGACAATAATGATAAGAATGGTGACGACGATAATAATAATGACGACGATGACGATAATACTAATGGTGACGATAATAATAATTATGTTAATTATAATGATGACATTGATAATGACGATGATGACAATGATGACAATGACGTTAATAATGATGGTGACGTTAAGGAAGATGACGACGACAAAAATGAAAATAATGATAACGATGATAATGATAAAGATGCTAGAAAAGATAATAATACTGATGATATTGATGACATCAATGACAAAGACGCTGACACAGAAGACAATAACGATAACGATGTAAATATCGATGGCGATGATAAGGATAATGACAACAATATCGATAATAAAAGTAATAATGATGATGATAATAATAGTAATAATAAAAATGATGATCATGATGATGATATAGATAATGATAATAATAATGATGATGACGATGATGATAATAATAATATAAATTATAGTAAAAATAATAGTAATGATAGAATTTATAATACTAATGATAAAACTGATGATGTTTATCATTAAATAATAATAATGATAACGATGATAATGATGATTATGACAATAATGACGATGATGACTAGGATAATAAAGATGATGACGATGGTTATGATAATGACGATGACCTTTTAGATAACAATTATGACGTTAATGATCATAACGATGATAATGACGATTATTATGATATTGACAAGAACGACGATGATGACGAACATGATAATCACGTTAACAACGATAACTTTTATGACAATAACAACGGCACTGATAATGTTGACAGCAAATACATCAACAACGATAACGAAAATGATGATGACTATAATAAAATTGATGACTATGATGACGTTGACGATATTATTAACGATGTAAATGACGATCACAATTACGATGACAATAATAATAATAAAGATGATGATCTTAATTTATTATATAATAATAGAATTAAATTAAATAGTTATTACGATGATGATGCCAATAATAATGATGTTGTTTATAATAACGATAGTGTGATAGTAATAATTATGTTAATAATGGAGATGATAACGATTATAACGATAATAGTTATGAGAATGATGACAATGACAATGACGATCATTATAGTAGTGACAATGATGAGGATGATGACGGCGATGACATTAATGATAATGATGACAATAATGATCATGATGCCTATGATGACGATGTTAATAACGATGACGATGTCAATGACAATTGGCATTAACGATAATAATAATAATAATAATAATAATAATTATGTTAGCAAAGTCGATAATAGAAATGGAGATGATGATTATGATGATAATGATGGTGATAATAACGGTGATAACGACGATGACAATGATAATAATGACAATGATGTTAATAATCATGATGTTAATGATAATGATGATAATAATGATGATGATGATGATGATAATGATAATTACATTGATGATGATAATAACGCTGACGAGAATAACAATGACGATGATGATAAAGATGGCATTATAATCATCATTGTCACTATCATCATTGCCATTATTATTATCAAAAATATTATTATCATCATCTTTATCGACATCATTATTATCATCTTTATCATCATTAACATCATCATTAATATTATTGTCATCGTAATCCTTAACATTATCATCATGATAATCATTATTATCAACATCATCTTCACTATTATTACCATTATCATCATCGTTATTGTCGTCATCATCGCTATCACTATTATAATTTTTATCATCATTATCATCATCGTTATCTTAATTATCACCGTCATCATCATCATCATCATCATCATCATTATCATTAAAATTATCATTATATTTATGGTCAATATCATTTTTACTATCATTATTATCAATATTATCATTATCATTATCATCATTATCGTCAATATTAATATCCTTATTTTTTCTTACATTATTATTATTATTGTTATTATTATTGTTACTATCGTTATCGTCACTGACCTCATCCTCATTGTTATTATCATCATTATCGTCAACTTCGTCATCCTCGTTACCATCATTATTATCGTCATTAATATCATTATTATCATCGTTATCATTATTATAATCATTATTATTTTTGTAATTGTTATTATTATTATCATCGTCATTATTATAATCGACATCATGATAAACAATGCCATCGTTGTCATTTATGTTATTATTATAATCATCATTTTTATTACTATCATCATAATTATTATTATTATTATTACTATTATTATTATTATTATCAACATTATCATCGTCATCATAAGCCCCTTATTATTGTTATCATCGTCATTATTATCGTCATCATAATCATCATCATTATCACCATCAACATTATCATCATTGTAATTATTACTATTATCAATATTATTACCGTTATTATCGTCATCATTATCACATTCACCATCATCATTGTCATTTTTGTCATCATCATTGCCATTATGATTAAAATTATCATCATTATGACTATCATTATTATCATCATCATTGTTACCTTATGTTATTATCGTCATATTTATAACTTTTATCATCGTCATCGTCTTTATCATTATCTTTATCGTCATTATAATAAACGTTGTCATCGTCGTCATTATTGTTATTATCATTAGTATTATAATTATTGCCATCATTTTTGTCATCATTATTATCATTGTCATCATCCTTATCGTCATCATTGTTGTCCTAGTTACTATCGTTGTCAATATCATCGACGTTGACATTGTCATCCACGTCACCAATATTATCATCGTTATCGTCATCCTCATCATCATAATCGTCATCATCATCGTCATTATCATCAACGTTGTCATTGACGTCATCCTCGTCACTATTGTCATTATCATCATTGTCATTATTATTATCATCGGTATCATCAATATAATCATTATGATAATCATAATAATAATGATTATTATTATCATCGTTATTCTCATAATTGTCAATATGAAAAACCTTGTGATTGTCATCATTTAAGTCATTATTATCACTATTATTCTCATCGTCATGGTGATCGTCAACATCATCATCATCGTAATTATTGTTACTGTCATTATTATCACAATTCTATTCATCATCATTATCATCATAAATATTACTATCATTATTATCATCATAAATATTATTATTATTATTATTATTATTATTAT